CTTCGGTATCATTCAAATGCGACAACCACTTCATTCATTTATTACAGTATCTCTCGAGTTAAACAACAACAAAAATTCATTTCAAACCACTGAAACATTCAAATAACATAGATATAATCAGATGACTTAAGTGAACATTCATCTTGGATCCCACTGCAAACCACCGAGTAAAATCACAACAAAAATGAGTTAGTTATTCTTCACAACTGTTAGTTTCGAAAATGACACTATCCGCGCATTTCTGCCTCAGAACGAAAATATATCCTAAGGTTACTGAACTTTTATTTACTTAGTAAGTAAATGATTGAAGGTCATAATTTATAAAACAATTAAAATTCTACCGCCTATTGCAGCAGTGACCTGAAGTCTTGTTTACTAATTGAAATTACCCTAAGATATTAGGAGAATTATTCGCTTAAGGAAGGAATATTAAAAAATTAGCCTAATGCCTTAAAACCAAACGGGCTACTTTATGCATTTTCGGATGAAGGGACTAAATGAAATATTCAGAATAATGGATTCAATAACAAAGTTAAGTTCACATGATTTTTGAAATAGCTAATATCTTTGAAGTACAAACTTAGAAAAATAACATCTTAGTCTCAAGGTTACTTAGCGTAGAAGGTCATCTATGTGATTAATTAGCATTTGTATCAGTTGATTGACTATACATAAGCGATAGCTCTTTCGCAATAATTAGAACAGATTTATACGAATGCAAATGAATAGACTAGCAACAGTTTGTTCAACCTTATATGCCTGATTACTAGATGCCTAATGATGTCACCTTTGTAAGTGTAAATATTGTATAAACGTGAAAATAATGCTTTATTTCTCTGAGCAGAAAGATAGTAAAGCCTGTGAACAAACAGCTACCGTAAACTGAAACTACTAGTTAGTGAATAACAGTATACAAGATCACAAATAGCCTTTATCAACTCATAGAATGAACTTATTTACAAAAAAAAATGAATAATTACTGAATACATGAAGAATTATCTACAAAATTAATGCAGTTTTTTGCTCGAGAGTAATGACAGATAGTGGTTAGCAATGGAATCCAGGATGAGCATGCCTTGTTCTCGTTAATGAATAAATGGGTATATTTCGTAAGATAAAATTGAGTGTTGAGACTTCTAAACTTTATCTTGAGTATGACGTAAATACGTCAAACTGGTAATAGACCCTTTCATCTTTAATTGTTAAATAATGTGGTTCTCTACTGAAGACAATAAAAGTCACCTGGCCACTAAGTTCTGCGTGTATAAACTCTAAATGTTTATAGTTCGTAACGAGAACTGTGTTCCGGTTTGATGCAGTGAAGATTTCTAATAAATCAGAAGACATCTGCTGTCACGAGTTTGAATTTCACTCGGAAAATTAGAAGGTAGTATTAAAAGCCTCTATGTTACATTACCAGACTCCCTGGCAGTCTTATTTTATGGAGTCCAAAGGGTCCCCCAGTAAGTGCCTCATTTTAGAAACTATTCAACTGGAGTCGAAAAAGATGGCGTTTTCAAATTCCTGGTAGACTTCTAGTCTTTTTGGTTGACGTTGAGTTTCCTCACTTATCAGTAAGAAACTAGACAAGTGGCTCTCTGAAACTCCGGTGTGAAAATATAGGGTTGTGGACGTAAATGAGTGCCGTATGAAAGTAGTAATGTGAATTACATCGAAAGATAATCTGAAATAATTTGCTGATGAATTGAATTTAAGAAATACTAGCCATCTAGATCAGAACCAGTGGTTCTAGTCTGTGTTAAATTTTTGGCACCTAACACATTTTGGCCTGTTTTCGGTAGACATTATTATATGTCAACGACTACTTTGGGAGTAAGTGATACGGACGTTTACCATTTTTTGACTTTAACTACCACTGCCATCTAAGGGAGATCTTCTCTTGGAAAACTGCTATCCTATTTCTGGCTCTTTTCCAACGAAATGAATTGCACTTCATTCACACCCAAAAACCGTGATTGAACATAACTGTTTCTACTCAGTGTTGTAAGCATCAAAGTGATGACATTCGATTTTTGGACTAGCCTAGGATTTGAAACTTTCATGGCAGGAATAACCTTCGCAAAATGTGTTAAGGCAGACGAGCATTTTAGTTCAATTTAACATTACGACGATGGCTTTAACCATAGTTTTTCGATAGCATAATTAGAAGATGAAGTTTATCTGAACAATATAATGTATTTGCGCAATACATTTTGAACAATCTGATCACGCAATTACTTGTCAAGTCAATAAATATATTACTGAGGAATGGGGGAAAAATACAATGGTTAACACAAGAGGGGATTAAAATTAAGAAAGATAAGAACAAACAGGAAGTGACCTAGTTTATACTAATCTAGGTAAGAAAATAAAGTTTACCAAGGTAGGCGTGGTGTAAGAACAAATTGCTTTTGTATACAAAAGTGGTTTCAATTTGTGTATGGCTATGGCTTCCACAAATCTCAGAATGCATACCTGACTGTTTCTATGTAAAACTTTGAAAGCTGTTTGAACACTAACTTTGTGTCCTGTTTCTAAGATATGTTTAGCTATAGGTGAAGAGGGTCGCCTCCCACCAGCGTTTGTCACTGTTTCACACTCCATTTCTACTTGAAGCCACTTAAGCACATGTTCTCCCACCCTCAACTGCGTGACTCGATAACTCCTCCTTATGTATATGTGACCATACACTTGTAAACCGGTAGACACAATGGGATGTGACGTAATCACTGATTCACTGTTTAAGTTTTTGGTGAAGTATGTGTCTTATTTTTTCTACAGTGGTAAAATTCGCAGCGTAATATGTTTTCTTAATGGCTGATTTTAGCCTACGTCTCAGAATGATGCGATTCAACTCCCCTCTATGTGGTAGAGTGATGTGGACGCTTTTCTTAGGAACCGTGTATAGAGTTGACTTTTGCGCTACAACGGTTTATAAACTTCATCTGATACCCATTTCCCATCAGTGCTTTGGCAAATTTGATGACATCTTAGTCTACAGGAAAAGATACCTTTGCATCAGAATCATACGACACTAGAGAAGAGTAAGGTGTTGAAAACTGGATGCATGCCTTTTGGTTGAGGTACATTAGAGAATGTCTATTTGAAGACGACTTTAAAGGACGTATACTGAGCTGTCAAAGCATTATTGAGGAAATACTCATGTATTACGGGCCTGTGGAATGCTAACATAAAAGGTCAGCTTTATGATCAAGAACTTTACGAGTAATGTACTCAGCCGTAATTAACGCCATTTTGCTTTAATTCATACTCAATTATAATAACGAATTCTAGTTCGCTTATTTTGAGTATTTGGACAATAAATCTTGGTTTGTTGGCTGTTTCTTTATTCGTCGGTGGTCTTGAATTCTATCTTGTGCGTTGATGTAGGTGATCAGTGCTGATTAGTTGCGAGCAATTATGAAAGCATTTGACAAGTTGTTCCTGGTTCGGCTCACCTCTATAAGTGATGTTCATCCGTTGTTCTAGTTACATTGAAATCCTAATGATTTTCAAGTAATTTACATGGGTTTTGTTAAAAATTTGATATTCAAGGATATTTCTTTCTGAGAAGTAGGTATATTACTAATATGCTTAACAGAGGGGAGAAACATATTCCCGATGATCATTCATTCAGTGTAGGTTTATAATCATGGCGATTCTGATACACCTCTGTCTACTTTGACTAATTTGTAGCCTGGTTAGATTTTAATCCATAAAGAGTTTTTTATCAAATATATTTCATCACATCGCTTTCTTTGCTTATTTTAATTATTTAAATGTCAACAAATCCCAAAAAGTATCCTCGTGCATTCTTAAGATATCTTCACCCTGTCCTTAGATAAGTTAACAACAAAATTAGGGGAAAATATCATGGCAGATATCAGTGGACTCCTGAGCACATAACATTATAGCGCATATCTATTACAGTAATAGTCAATCGGAACTGCAAACCTTCATATTGACTTAATGAACCTCCATCACTAAGCTTAAGAGCGTTTTTCTGTTCGCCACCTGTGCAACAACTTACACGCAACCATAACCTAAAAACTACTAGTCATTTTGCATTATTGCATTATTTAATTGCCGTGGTTATTTAGTTTGAAAATATTGTACAGTGAATTAATTTGTTGAAATACCATACTGAAAATTCCATGCTGTACTGGCATTTTTGGTGTGGTATAAAGCTGTTATTATTATTATAAGAATCAGCATTCACCAAACCTAATTTCCTTAATAAACTTAAGCACTAAATCGGAAATGCTCGAATCTGTCAGCAGACAGTAAATGTAACTATCAAATCTTAGTTCCTCAACATTGATCGAAATGTATCAACTGCCTTTTGTAATCATCCACTTAGCTAAGTGACATGACACTATGATATCTTATATGGTAGATTCATACCAGATCTGTTGAGAACTATGTCTGTAGTATGCTTGGCAGTTATTTCACCCAATCAAATATAATGTCAGGAACTTTCCAATTATCCTTTTTATGAAACACAGAAATTCTGACGATAGGAAGTTGACTTTCTACCATACAAATTTATGCAAAATACAAAATTTTAGAATAATTCACGCGTCTACTAGCAGATCATCGGTTCACTTCAGTCATCTGATTATATCTATGTTATTTGAATGTTTCAGTGGTTTGAAATGAATTTTTGTTGTTGTTTAACTCGAGAGATACTGTAATAAATGAATGAAGTGGTTGTCGCATTTGAATGATACCGAAGTCATCAGATCCATGTGTAGTATTCAGTGAAATGAAGCTTCGCTTCGCATTTTGGAATCTCCTTTTTCAGTTTTCCAAGTTATTTAGACAGGTTGTCAATAATATCAAACGTTTGGTAGTTTATTCAGCCCACTGATTAAGTTCAAATTTGTTTGTTTTTGTCTCTTCCTCCTTATTGTCAATAGCTTCTTCCGTGTTTACACGTTGCCTGTGAAAGTTGTGCTACAGCGCTAATCGTACCTCAGGATGGTCAGAATACGAATCCAATGCTGAAATGTGATGCTTGTTATAAAGCTGGTATCCTACTAAGGAAACAATACAACCCTCACATGGGTAACGATATTAACGAGATAGTAAACATTCATAATATTAAAAACATGACAGTTCAGCATTACAACAGCCGAGATGACAATTCAGAGTTCAGAGTGGAAGAACAGGGGAATACAATACAGTTTCCAAATGCAATATTTATTGAAAAACTCCGAGAGTTGGCAAATTTGTTAAAAAAGGATGCAGTACACAAATGCGACTATTGTATGTTTGAAAATCAGACTTCTGAAGCCCTGTGCAGGTAATTTGGTTGTTATTCATGCGTGTATGTTTTAAGTCCATATCCTATTTTTTTCCGAATGAAATGCATAAGTTTTCAGATGTTTGGAGGCAGAGAAGAATATGTCCTTAAGCTGCGTCCTATAATTTCGCAGGGCTACTCTCTGTTCATAAATTCAGTCTTATGTGACTCAACACTGTGTAGAAGACTTTACACAAGACCTTTCAGATGAATTTTTGCTCCATTAAACTGGAAGGTTCACGTTTGAATCTTAACACAGTTGAGAGTCTCTTCGATCATATAAACATGATATAATTATTAGTTTTGAGAAGTGTAATGCTTCTTTGAAAAATCTTTAAGTCACTTTCACCCATCCAGAAAGAAGTGTACTGCTGTATAATATGTAGTCACTCATTTCATTTACAACGTAGGATTCTAAGAATGTGAAACATCACTTTATCCTGAGTGGACAGGTTTAAGCAGTTCATTATACAGTAACTCTTTCACAGGAAGCAGCTTGTTAAATAAAACACTGCATATTTTAAAAAATTTGGGCATTAGGTAAATGACATTAATGACTGTCGGTATTTTCCAAAGTAGAACAAGGTCATTTTGAATTCACTGGGAAACAAATAATAAGACTGTGAAAAATTTCATGAACAACTAAAGAAAAAAACAATTCGATACTGAAGTTTTGTTTCCGTTCCCGTTTTTATTCGTTTATGTTTAGAAGCATGTAACCACATTATATGAAAAATTGGGCCATAATGTCTTTATCTTTCAGTTTATCATGCGTATCCACAAGTCTTTAGATAGCCTTTGATCAAAGTTCAAGCTCATGAATTAAATTTACTAAGAATTACGTTTGTTATATCAATCCGAATTCAGGGACATGCCAAAGTAGCAAAGGTTTCACACAAATTCAGAGACGACTTGAAAGTCATTTCATTTGATTCTCAAACCTTTCAAAAAACATCACTTTGAGCTTTTTAGATGGAGTAGAATATTTATTCATTTAATGATGATCATTTTGCCTCCGAACCTCGCCTAGGTTACTAGCTGATCTTAAGCCCGGATGAAGAGGGAAGGTTGGGGATAGGGCTACCAACCCTACCCCCAAAAACCAATACAACCACTAAAAAAACTTCGAAGCACAAACAAAACAACAAAAATTAAAACAAACTTATTCCTCACTGGAATCAGGGCGACGAAATGACGCCAGTTGTTGAAAGCCTTCGGGAAGCCAATCGGTCGATGTCTCTTCGCCTCTCTCGATGAAAGCGAAAGTAAACATAGGGACATGGAATGTACACACCATGTATGAACCTAACAAGGCTGTCCAGATTGCAGAACAGATGAGAAGATATAGCACAGGAGTGCTAGGAATCTGCGGAAGTAGATCAAATGTAAGTGGACTCTCCAAACTGTCAACTGCAGAGTCAATAATCTACTCCGATATGGTCACGTAGACGACAATCACGAGTACAGCACACTGAGTTTTCAAGTCGACATCATGATGACAGCAAGGGTATCAAAGACTGTCTCTCATGCAGTGGGAACCGATCTCCTCAACGATCACGATCATGACAGCAAGATTCAAATCGAAAGGAAGGAAAGTCACAATCATTCAATGCTACGCCACGCACCTTCAAATAATGCAGATGAAGAGAAGAAGAAGAAGAAGAATTCTATAGACAACTGCAATCAGGACTGGACAATACGCCAGTCCATTTGGCGACATCAAAACTCTAATGGGTGGGGTGAAATGAACGAGAAAGTGGGAGTAGACAGCACAGGAAGAGAGCCAATCATGGGTTGAGAAGCACTCGGTGAAATGATGAACGAGAACGGAGAACTGTTTGTAGACTTCTGAGCATTCAACGATTTGGTGATTGGAGGCGATGCAGTGTGTACAAGCACAAGGATATCCACCACAAAGCGACATGGATTTGATTTCCCCAGATGGACACACCAAAAGTCAGATGGACTTCATCTCAATGTGAAGAAAGTGGAGGTGGAGACGCAGCCTACTGGACACAAGATCAAGAAGAGGAGCAGATGTAGGTGGTTCATACCACTCGCTGTCTAGTACAAGGAACCTACCTTCCAAATCAAGTTGAAAGCCTTCAAGGAAGTTGGCGATAGACCACAGTTCGAGTTCAACACCCAGAAACTGAAGGAGGAATCCACGAAGGACGTCTTCATGTCAGCCATCAGAACAAAGTGGGAGACATTGAACAACATCACTGAAGGATCGGACGTGGAAGAACACTGGAAATTTTTGAAAGGTATGTGGAAAGAAGCCTACATAACCGCATTAGGAAGAAAGAGGAAACAAGACAAGGAGTGGATCTCGACAGACACATGGAATCTGATGGAGGATGGAGATGAAGATGGTGATGCTGAAGCGGAAGATGAACCAGTGCAGTGCAGTGCAGTGCAGGTATGAACAATGAAGAAAGGAACTGATCACAACGCATAAAACACTACACTGGACAAAGAAGTGAAGAATAGTGCACGCAAACACAAAACACTTCTACGACACACTTGCAGGTGAAGCTCAGCAGGCTGCAGATAGGGGAGACAGACACCTGACAACATTGTATCAAATAACTAGGTTACTATCTGGGAGGGAAGAGATTGATGCAGATGAGACCAATGAAAGATAGTGAAGGAAACTTAGTTAGCAAAGAGGAGATACAAAGGAACCGATGAGCCGACCACTTCAATAAACTCTTAGATCGACCACCACCTGTGACTCGTCCAGAAATACCCCCAGCAACGACAGAACTACCAGTGAACACAGGCCCTCCGAGAAAAGCAGAAGTGATGTTCTGAATGCAATAAAACTGCTGAAATCCGGGAAAGCAGCAGGACCAGATGGAATCCCGCCAGTAGCTCTGAAAACAGATGCAGAGACATCGGCGAACATACTCATATCACTTCTATTAGAGAAGGTTTGGAAAGGAGGAAGGGAGGAAATGCATCTGCGGACTGGCTGGACGAAGGGCTACGTTGTCAAACTCCCGAAGAAGGGAGACCTAAGTCTTCGCAAGTAGTGACGAGGAATCATGGTGTTGTCCACCCAATGCAAGCAAAATATTATGCCGCATCATCATGGAGAGACTAAACGATGCTCTGGATTCAAAATCACGATCGGAACAAGGTGGCTGGCTGGCTCAAGGAGGAACAAATCATGTGCGGATCAAATTGCAACGCTACACCACGCGTCATCATAAAACAGAGCATAGAATGGCAGTCAACTCTCTAACTCACCTCAACTTCGTCGATTTTGGAAAGACCTTCGACAGCGTCGACCGCGAAGTAATTTGACAGGCAGCTACATCAGCACCACGGTTTTAGTGCCTCAAACCGTCATCAACCTCATTCAACAGCGGCTCTATGCTGTGCTATATGATAAAGCTACATGTGAAGTGATTCACAGTGGAATGCTCAGAGATGCCTTTGCAGTGGAAGTGAAGGCAGACAGGAGTAAAACATGGTAGCCGCCTACTATCACCGATGATCTTACTGATTGTGGTGAACTGGACTGGACTGGTTCACGAAACAGACTGTGAGGAGTGAGGAGATGGGTATACGCTGACTGGATTGATGAAAAGACCCTAGAAGATTTGGATTTCACCCTCGACTATGATTTATATCTAGTGTGTTGTCCTTCAAGCTCGAAGATCTACAAGCGAAAACCAACAAGTTGGCAGAAAAGGAGAGGCGAGGCAGCAAAGGAAGACGGGGATGAATTCAGGTGAAGGTGAACGTAGAAAAGACAGAGGTAGAGGTGATGAAGATACAGAATCAACAACAACAACAAGCACCGATCACCATGAATGGGAGAAATCTGAAGGAAGTAATCTCTTTCACCTACCTGCCTAGGCAAGGCAGCATCGTTTCAACTACAGGCGGCACAGATGAACATATTAAAGCCAGGATCGGAAAGGCACCAAGACATGTCTTCATTAACCTGAAACACTCAGTGTTGAGACCTATTGCATTCAGCATAAACAGTAAACAAGATCCGGATTCCCAATAGCAATGTCAAGTCAGTGCTTCTATATGTTTCGGAAACTTGGAGCGTTACGAAAAGCGTTTTCAACAAACTACAGACATATATCACAGCTAATGCCTACACTCGCTTGATACTGAAGATCAGATAGTCAGAATAATAAGAATAAATGACAAGGAACTCTGGCTGGCTGGCAACGAACCGACCAAGAACCCATCACCCAACAAATATGCAGAAGAAAGTGGAGATGGATTGGATTGTGTATACACTGAGAAGATGATTCGGGAACGTCACGATGCAGGCCCTCGAGTGGAATCCAAAGGGGAAACGACGAGTTTGGCGTCCGAGGTGAGGGTGACATGGAGGAGATGGTATATATATATATATATATATATATATATATATATATATATATATATATATATATATATATATATATATATATATATATATATTAGGGAAGACTAGAAACAAATAAGAAGGACGAGTGATAACTAACTATATGAACAAAATATTCAGCTGTGTGTATACTGCTTAAATTAAAATTTGATTCCGTATATATATAAAATTTAATGACTAGTTGCTCTGTTTTCTTAACAAAGAAGCCTGGTTTCTAATAGGAGGTCTGCTCGCTTCCTATCACAGTTAAGATACCTGGCAAAATATGGATATCAGGCTCTGCTATAGGTAGCCAAGATACCAATATGAAGTCCTAATAAAAAACTACATCAGGATAGTGACTAATATAATTCGTTTTAGTGTTAAGTAGTGACTGAATTCAAGTCTCCAACCTTCGTAATAGGGCTGTTAAACTGAGGAAGTCTCCATTGTGATGGGTTGTCTTACGTTGGCTGGTTTAGCGGTGTGAACAGAAATTTATGAGCTGAAGTTGTCCACTTCTCAGTGGTCATTGTAAATATGTATCTACAGACAAGATTTTCAAACGTTTAGCTACATATCTGTATCACTAAAGTTGACCTTTAGAGTCTATTTAGCACTGAGAA